TGAGCACGCAACCCCAGAGTCGTCCGCGACCAGACCTAACTGTCAGGGGTACCTTTACCTTTTAGGAAGAAATGGGGCTATGGAAGGGCTCAGGATATTGGGCAAGGCTTGGAAGAAGATGCCCCATAGGCTGATGGATCCCCATCCCTGCATTAGAAGAACAGGATCATCTCAGAAGAGAACTGGTGCACAACCATGTCTCCATCAGCAAGTTTTGAATTGTACTTGGTTTTTGTTCTGGTTTAGAGCTTTGGCATTAGGCTGTGCCATTTTAGGAGGTGAAACATATATTTTTTATTGAAAAATAAAAAGTACAAAACTACAAGTGCACAGAGTCAGAGACAAAAAGAAGAAGAAACAAGAAATAGTACAAATGTAGGAAACAAAGCAGAATTTTTGTGTGTGTACATTACAAAAAAGGGGGAGGGGACTTGTTATTGTACTTAATCAGACCGTAATCTATTATTTATAAAAATTAATTCCAAATATCTTTAAATTTTAGGGGGTGAAACTTAATTTTTGTGAATTTCTTCAATCAGGGAGTCTTAAAAATATGGTTTTTGGCGGTAAGGAATTCAAATCTGCTATTATTTTTGTGATTAGACAACACTGAGCTTGGTAAATCATTGAGCTTGGTAAATCCCACAGGTTATGAGGTTGGTAGTAATAGCACATTTATGCACACTTTTTTTTAATTAGACAAGTTTAAAACCATTGAATGTTCCACAAAACATAGAAAATCATTATTTTCATGTACCAAGCAAAACTAAATTATAAACATTTGACCAAAATATATTTTGAATTCCCAAGTTATGTCGCAACTTTTTTGCACTTCTCATTTTTGGAATTTGAAAGTAGAAAAAATTAACACCCTCTGGGGTGCAGCACATGTCTGGCTTCAAAGAGAATTTCCTTTTGTGAATAAGCTTCTTACATGAAGCTTTAGCAAACACACAAAGCATTTCATCAACGGCCAAATCCAAGAAGTGTTTTCTCTGGATAGCCATACATCTCCATTTGCTTTAGCAGCAATGAATAAGTGAATGGGAGGAAATTGGATGCTAAAAGCTCTTACATAATGGAAGGGATAACAAGGACATCTTTCAGCCTCAACATTTCATTTGCTCATTCGTTGTCTGCTTAGGGCCAAAGCATATGCCATGATGACCACAGGTAAGTACTTGCCTATATAATAATGTGCACCGTACAACTCCCTTTTTACTGCTAGGAGGAGTCAGAGCTGATGAACCAGCAACACACCTATGAAGTCCACTGATCACTGGCATGCCAACTCTATTGTAATGATCTCAGGCAGGCAAGCAAGCCCCGATAAGAATTAACAACTCTCTGGCAGTTTTATGGTTCGTTTATTTACAAATTACATCCAGAGCGCAGTTCTGGGCCTGCCGCCCTTTGCTACAAGTTGGGCACTCTGAGTCTCCACCCCATCAGAACACAGGGCACCAAAGTCCAGTCCTTCCTCTCTTGCACTTCCATAGCATCTTAACACTGTCAGCTCTCCTGGTTCGGGGAGATGGTATGTGAACTCAACCCCCCCCCCACTTTCAAATGACACTTCCTCTGAACGCTGTCTCCCTCCTGGTTGCATAGCAACCCCCTCAATGTCTTCTATCTTCTCCCCTCCCTCTTGCCTGTGAGCTCTCTGAGTCTGGGAACTCTTGATAAAAGGGGGCTGCACTAACCCCCTCCTGCCCTGTCTGTGGCTGCGATCTCTCGCTTCCAGAGTCAGACTCTTCCCATGCGTTCAATTCAGCCACGTCCCTGACACCTATGCGTTAAGAGGCCAACTCACATGAGACGTAGCTGCTATCATTCTCATTATTATTGAAACTGCCTTTCATCCGAATATCATAGGGAAGTTTACAATATAAAAACGCAAACATACATATCGTAATAACAAACACAAAAATACTGCCCCACCCCCCACTTAAAAGGCCATAGATTGTTTAATTAACCAAAGGAATGTTTTTACCTGGCACTTAAAGATATGTAATGAAGATGCCAGGCAAACCTCCCTGGGGAGAGCATTCCACCACAGATATGAGATTTGTATGTGCCTGAGGACTACATATCTGAAGAAGCCCTTTTATGGCATGCCTGTTTTGGCCCTATATGCCAACTGGCCAACATCAGGTAGAAGCTTCGTACACAATGCACCTCCACCTAATTGTGGCAAATCTCCCTCTGCCTACGGCAATTCCTAACCCCCTGGGAGTTGAAGGGGAACAGGAGAAGGCCCTTTCAGAAGTTCCTTCCAGGAGCATTCTTCCCCTCGCAGTTATCAGGATATACATTTTTTCAAGTGCTGAGAAAATGTGACATCCCAGTCACAGGAAAAGCTCCAAATTGAAGATATCTAGATCCTGATATCTAGACTGATTGAACAACCTCATTATCTAGAACAGGCTTCCTCAAACCCGGCCCTCCAGATGTTTTTGGCCTACATCTCCCATGATCCCTAGCTAGCAGGACCAGTGGTGAGGGATGATGGGAATTGTAGTCTCAAAACATCTGGAGGGCCAAGTCTGAGGAAGCCTGATCTAGAAGGCTGGAAGGAAGGGGAAATCTGGAGCAAATAAGAATTCAAAGAGGCTGTGATAGTATAACTGGCACCAAATTGTACTTGCACAGAAACGTACCATGCCAGAAGTGAGTGCATGAAATTGGATTTCTAGAGGCATGATGTAATGGAGGGCATAAGCTAAATTATGGTCAGAAATGAAAGAATTAACAAGCAGTTTAAAAAAAAATGCTGTAGACTGTAGGCTTGATGTATACATACTGCAGTATTTTGCCATTTTGGGGATGTGCCATGAAGAGAATTCTCACTAACTACCGTTCTTTGGCAGAGACTTACTGTTTTACTTAGGCATAATTTGTTGGGTAGGAGAAGAGATCAGGAAGTTAATATGTCTTTCACTTAACTGAGAAGCCAGTCAAAGACCATGACATGCAGCAATTGCATCTCAAACTTCATATATACAGTATTCATCATCGGCATACAATAGTTTCGCATATTCCCCGTATTGTATCTGAAGTGTATTTTACCATGCATGCTAGTTCTTCATTAAGTCATTATTGGAGTGCTTATGATACCTAGGCCACTGGGCCAGATCTTCATTTACTGTAAATAAGTATAAATCTATTTGTTTCTCCTGGGTTTTCTCTGATATCATTTATTTGCACAGTTGGCAGAATCTCAGGTTGGCATATAAAAATTGCTATTTCCAAAAGAAGACAGAGCCAATATGTGTGTGTGTGTGTGTGTGTGTGTGAGAGAGAGAGAGAGAGAGAGAGAGAGAGAGAGAGAGAGAGAGACAGTGCCTAGGAGTTTTCTAGAGGTGCTTCAAAGGGCAGTATTAGAGAAACCAAAATAACACTATTTAGAAGCTGTTGTATATATGTGCACACAAACATGTTCTGCCTGTTGACATACATCAATATTTTTAATATGACTCCAGGATATTAGATTTATTTTATGTTTAACTATCTCATCTCCTTCCCTTCTCTTCCCTCCCATTATCCCCTGTTGGTCAATCATACATTTCCTGGGGGAAAGCAGAGGCTGTCAAGAATATTTATAGCTTTGAGAATGTTTTCTGAAGTCCTCAAGAATATATTGCACTATTCTATCTGATGTTAACATTGTAATCCATCTTTCATTCAATTGTTTCATAAGCCAAAGGCCAAAATGCAGCAAGAAGTGCAATGTGCAAAGTTGTTGGTTCAAAATCTTGCTTCTGACTAGGACTCGCTATGTGGCCCTAAGCAGGCCATTATGTCTCAGCCTCAACTTTCCACCTGTAGCATGGACATAATAATACTGACCTATCTTACAGAGTGTCATGAGCCATGGCTCTGACTTCTCAGCCTCAAAGGAAGAGGCCACAGACTCTGAGAACATCACAAACCATGAGGATGATTAGCCAGAACCAGTCTTCGATATGTCTGCTCCCTCAGGAATCCCAGCACCAGAGGAGCTGATGATCTCATTGCCTCTCTGGCCTGAAGATGTTGCGTTGCCTTCGAGGACTCCAGCAGAACCCAAGCAAGCATATCTCATGCTGCTGGAGCCAATGGCTCTTTAAACAGGCCAAGCCCTTTTATGAGTAAGAGGCTCCATTCATCCATGTCAGGGAACTGCCATCATCTCAGAGGCGTGAGGTAGAAGGGCAGTTGTGTTACAGGCAGCCTCCAAAGATTGTTGCAAAGCAACTCTTCCTCCAGCGAGGAGGGAAGCCCCGCCTCCAGTGGGGAAGGGATGCAGGGATCAGAAGATGCTAGAGAGAGTCGCAACACCGAGCCTGAGCAAAGGGGAGGGGAGGCAAGTCCCCCTTTGCCAGTGCCCTCTCTGCGCAGTCGGTTCGCGCACAGAGAGGGGAGGAGAAGGATGGGGGTCAAAAGACTGTTATGCTGGGGAAGGTTTAAGGACCGCCCACTCCCAGATTCTGCTAGCGACTGAGCAGACATGGACTGGAGACGCTCTGCACTGTAAATGTTTTTGTACAGATAATAAAGCCTGGAAAAGACCGGTGGGAGTCTTGCCTGTTCGCTCTCGAGCAACCACGCCGGCACATAACAATCCAGGACAGGGCTAGTTCCTCAGTTGAAGTTGCAGTCATACTGAAAACACATCCTAGGCTAGTTTGTTGTTAGACAAACATTCAGACCTGTCTTATCTCACTCTCGGCAGGGCCAGCTTGGTAGGATTGGTGAAATCACAGAGAGAAAGAGGGCATGAAGGAAGGAGGGAGAGAGGGAGGGAGGAAGAAACAGAGAGGAGTATTGATGCAGAGCAGAGAAGAAAACGTTCCATCCCGAAGATTAGAATTCAGATAAATGAAATCATTTCCAAATATTTTGTCTGCTTACCAAACTTTATCAGACATGGGAATGATGGAAAGAGAAAGGCTTATAAGCCTTATAAGAACATTAAAGCAAATCACACTAAACAATATACAGACCTAGGAATTGAGTACCTTAAAGTCAGGCGTTTGGCTTTCTTCTCTTTAACAGACAGTTCCGATTCTCGACGCGGGATCAATGGTGGCTTTTGTACAGGCGGACGTGGCAAGGGGATGTCTGGACCAATAGGTGGCAAGAAGTGATGGCACATGGAAGTGGCGACTCTCCACCCAATGCTCTGAGAAGAAGGCGCTTCGCTGGGATTTGATGAACCTTTTTCTTTGGATGCAATGAATGGGTCTTTGGGGCCTTCGGACTCAGCCTAAGAAATGAATGGAAAGGGAGGAAGGGGGGGGACAAAAGCCGAGTATGCATGATCTACTACCTAAAACAAGGTAATGACAGAACCAATCTATAAAACTTCAACAGAGGAAATTATAAATAAGACATTATCGTGCTTATTTCTGCTCTCCACAGTCCACTTTGATTCACTGATCCTTCTGTAGTCAGGAAATCTGCAAACAAGGTTGTGAATGAAACGCTGGAAAGAAGATGGCTTTGGCACCGTTTCCCTTCTTTGGAACACAAACAAGATTTCAAGTGCTAATAATTGAAATGCCCATTGAAATATTAATGGATAGAAACATTAAGGAGCTTGGAAAAATCCAGCACTTTCACAAGCAGGCATTCTCAAAGCCTTCAGTCCACACTTGACCCATATGCCTCAAAACAGTGCCATGCAAGCTCACAATCAACCACCTTTATGTTCATAAGACAATTTTTCTTTCTTGGAAGTGAAGAGGATATTGAATCCTTTCGATTTAGCTTTAAAATATCAATGACAACTGGTGAATACAGTTAATCTTCAAGCAACCCTTTACTAGTACGACTACATTTTATAAGCCCATTAGTACTTGTAACAGCGCTCAGATGGAACAGGAGATTCTTAAATAAAGGGGGAGAAACCTGAATGTCAAATGTATTTTCCAGTATTAATGAGATCTGGATATGTGCAGCATGTTTATTAATGACATCAGGCAGATACACTGTGTATCCCCTGTTTTAATTGGCCAGATGTAGTAACATTTTTAATCTTTGCTGTTGCAGCTTCTGCTTGTGTCATTGCTCAGAAATGGCTTTGTTCCATTCCCTTTAAAACCTGCTTTTCAGAGGTTTAAGTGAGATGGCAGCGGAACACCCTCCTGGCTTAGCCTTGTACCTTTTCATCTCCACAGCAAAATGTATGTGCTTTTCAAATACGGAAGAAAGGAAAACTCCACGTACTCCACATGCATAACACTCAAAACATTTCAGATTTCATCTTATTATAGAACCTACCTCAAACTTTAAAATGGTGAGGGCCGTTCCACATGGGTTTGGATGCCAAACTAAGATCCAGCAGGGAAACAGGAGCTGGTTCTTTGGGATGAGAAGAGGCCTTGCCATATACAAATCTGTGTTAAAGGTAAAAGGTAAAGGACCCCTGGACGGTTAAGTCCAGTCAAAGGCAACTATGGGGTAATAATAATGTAGCCAGGGGAAATCGCAGAGGGCATTCTCTCGAAGAATTCTGGGCACTGTGATTTATCCCTCACAGAGTTAAAACATCCCAGCAAACCTTAACAAGCTACCATGCTTTGTTGCAAGTATTTCTGCTTGCCTGGTGAAACAATCTCCTCTCTCATCCCCCCATATGTTATTCTGGGCGGTTTTCCTGCCCTCCCCCATCCCACAACCAATTTAATAGGTATGAGGGTGGGGGAAGCCTGTTGTGACAGTAGAAGTCTTTGTGCAGGCTTCCACAAGTGGTCCGGTTAGTTAAATCCAGCCCTCGGAGGCAAAGGGTAAAAGGTAAAGGACCCCTGGACAGTTAAGTCCAGTCAAAGGCGACTATAGGGCTGCAGCGCTCATCCGCTTTCAGGCCGAGGGAGCCAGCGTTTGTCCACAGACAGCTTTCCAGGTCATGTGGCCAGCATGACTAAACCACTTCTGGCGCAACAGGACACCGTGACAGAAGCCAGAGCGCACGGAAACGCCGTTTACCTTCCCGACGCAGCAGTATCTATTTATCTACCCACACTAGCGTGCTTTCAAACTGCTAGGTTGGCAGGAGCTGGGACAGAGCAACGGGAACTCACCCCGTCATGGGGATTCCAACCACCGACCTTCCAATCAGCAAGCTCAAGAGGCTCAGTGGTTTAAACCACAGCGCCAACCGAGTCCCTTCTAATCTGTGTTATATAGAAGCAGACCCCTGGTCCCCTCTAGCTCAGTACTACTGTCTACACAGGCTGGCAGTAACTCTCCAAGGTTTTAGATGGGATACTTGGAGAGATGAGGGATTGAAACCTGGGACCTTCTGCATGCAAGGGAAATGTTCCACCACTGAGCTATGTTCCCTTCCCATAAAAAGGCAATGGTGTGGAGTTCAAGAGGGTGAATGAATCTTCTGATAGATCAGGGGATGATCAAGAAGTGTACCAGATCTGAGACTGTTTGGAGTTGTGGACCTAAAGGACATAAGTGTTTGGGTACAGCTCCATGAATTAGAATGGTTTATCAAGACATTAATCTCAGCCTTAATACAGCCTCTGAAGAGAGGAAATTACAAAAAGTAAAAGGAGAGCTCACATGTTTTATTTTTCCAACCCAAGTCTAGAAAAGAGTGTCAAATGTAAGGTCTGTTTCCCCTCCTAAATATGTGGCAACAGCTATCAAAAGCATACATAGAGAACAAGATAGATGCGCAGCAGACAAAATGGATTTTTACATAGTTTTCCTGGCAGTAACATTACCTCTGCTGGATAAAATAGCATGTGAATGAAGTCCAAAAGTCACTTTGCTCACAAGGACTCAGTGGCTCACTGTGCTACTTTCCCAGAATTTCCTGTTGCAGAAGCTTAAATTTCACATCCTGACTCCTCCAGTAGCAGCTTAAATTGGTGCACGCATCCCCTTATATAAGAAAATGCCTTTGGCTCAATGCCCACCAACCTATGCCATCAAAGCTATTCACATCTATGTTGCCACCGGCTCCCCAGTATAAAGAAGTTTTGCTGCCATCCTTGGAAACCACAGCAGGGCTACGGTCTGGTCAATACAGTTAACATCCAGGTACAGCTAAAACAGGTAAGGGTTCCCGCAGCTAGAAGTGGAGCTACCTAGGCAAAACTGAGTTGCAGCCCTATTTAAGTCTCCACCTAAGGCTGTCTACTGCTGAACTAACATATGAACCCACTTGCATACATCTCCAGCCTGTGCATCACTTGGAACTGTTCAGGATGCTGCCTTAAACCAGGATTCCTGGTGAAATTTCTGTTTGGGCTGGAACAACCAGCTGGCTGCAACCCCACCAGGAACAGAACAGTCTCCTGCCAGTGGTCCACAACAATGGTGTTTTTTTTACCCATGAAGAATGGGGTAAGTCAATACATGAAAGTCTCATCAGCATCACATGATGAATTGTTATCATCTGTGTGGCTGGGAGTGTTAGGATGCTGGGCCACATGTTGAGTGTAACATCTGGACCAGCCCTCCTGCTATTCCATTGAAGTAGATCTATGCCAAATATGAATGCAGTGCTCCTTCTTGATGTTGTGTCCACAACGCAAGCACACACACCAGAAAGGGCACCAATTCTTGAATGTGGATCTCACACACCAGAAGACAGCATTTTGTATCTTTTCTGTACATAGAAGTAAATGGGAAATATTCCCAATATGGCAAGCTCACAGATGGTGGCCTGTACAGAAGCAGACAACGTGGCAAGCAGGCATATTCTTTATCGAAATTAAGCACACTAGAAAGCTGCTACTCTCTGCTTCATATTCAAAACAATCTGGGCTTTAGCATACAGCCAGTCCAAGTGTTCAACACTAGCAAGGTTAAGAAATCTGTAGCAGAGCTACATGCTACTGCAGACTTTGTTATATTAAGACAGATTATGGCCGACATGTCTTGACTTAGGGGAGACAAACTATAAAGTCATGAAAATAGTGCAAAGAGCATATTAGGATACCTTTCTTTCAATTTAAAAAAAAAGACTACCAAAATATATTTCTGCAGTGACCGTGGGTGGAAGGATGAAAGAGTGAAAGGGTTTGCTTGAAAAGAAGCTCTACACAATAAGAAAAGCTGGAGGTCAAATACGGAAAGAATGAACTCTTACACTGAAGCAAAAATTAGAGATATTTTTTTAAAAAAAAATATTTCATGTTTTGCAAGGCAGATGGCAGAAAGCTTCTCCTTCAGTTTGCCAGCATATATGTTAGGGCAGCCAAAAGCGAGTCATTCTTGTTGACAATCTCCAAGGAACCATCACTAACTAATAATGTTTATTAGACTATTATGACTAGGTGGCAAATGTAGGGGTGTGGGTTCTTATTGCACCTAAAGAGATAGGGATCTTTTCCATGTAAAATGGCTAGCCTACTTATGCCAGGGTTCATTTCCTCACTCTCAGCTCTGTTCAGCTTCTGGCACAGCTGTCAACGTTTCCCTTTTTTTTAAGGGAAATTCCCTTATTATGAATAGGATTCCTCTCAAGAAAAGGGAAAAGTTGGCAGCTATGGCTTCTGGTCACCCCCAGAAACATATTAGAGCAGAGGTGGCTAACCTGTGGCCCTCCAGTTGTTGCTCCCAGCACCCTTGAATTTTGCCAACACTGGCTGGGGCTGATGTGAATTGGAGTCCAACAACATTTGGAGAATTACACGTTAGCCACTTATGCTTCAGAGACTGCACCTGAACTTTGGCAAAGACATCAAACTCATATATTCAAGCACGCATGACTAAATGAAGAACCTTTCTCAGATAACCACAAGGTAGATATTATTCTTTAACCCTGGTTCCGCTGCATGCAAAACTACATGAGAACAAAAAACCTAGGGTTGGATACAGATGCAAGCTACTTCCACCTAGTTCCCATTAACTCAATGGAACTTAAGTAATCTTTCATATAGATTTAAATTGGCCCCAATTGTGACTAACCACAGCAAAGAGGATATTATCATCATCAGATGATCTTTATGTTCATGATGTGACCTAGATGAGGAGGAGGAGGATAAATGAACATAGATGGCTCATGTTTTTCAGGACTTTATAGATCAAAGGAAATACCCAGTCTGGAAGATTATAGGAAGACATTGAAAGATTATAGGAAGATTATAGGAAGACATTATAGGAAGGTATTGCTACAATGTGCTCCCAGTACTGCCAGTGCATTCTGTACCAGCTTCAGATTCCATCAGCATACAAAAAACACAGTAGCATATAGGCAACATTTGAGCAGATGATGATGACGATGATTACTTGAATTAATAG